ACTAGAACCGTCTACCCCAGTGATCGAAATAAAGGGTTCAGTTCGACATTCCAACCACCTGAAGAAGGCTGGAGCGTACAACGGCCGAAACGTTTTATCACAACGTTTCGGTCGTTGTACGCCCCGCCTTCTTTTGGGTGGTTGGAATGTCGAACTGAATCCTTTATTTCGCTCGCTGGGGTAGGCGTGCCTTGTCTAATGGATGTCAGTTACCAGTTATCTCCTGTTAATTCCCCTATCCAAGTTGTCCACCACCTTAACCAGGTATTGAACTCACAACTCTTTGGGTCCTGTCATTGGATCTAACTAACGCCTTTATCCACTGTGCCATGTATCCTCAAGGACCCGAAGAGTGTGAGTTCAATATCTGGTTAAGGCAGTGGAGAACTTGGAGAGGGGAATTGACAGGAGATAAGTGATAACTGACACCCATTAGATATGGCACGTGGAACTAGAACAGTCTACCCCAACGAGCCAAATAAAGGGTTCAGTTCATTTCAACCACCTGAAGAAAGCTGCGGCGTACAATAGCCGAAACGTTCTAATATATATGGCGACAAAGATAAGGACAATAGTCCGAATAATGTAAATAGTGTACATAATACCTCATCTCAGAAATATAGACAGATACTGAAATATCTGAGCTTGACATTTTTTTTTAGAATATCTTCTTTTCAAGACAGAATTTTGGACAGGCACACTCTTAATTCTTCTTTAGTTCGATATTCCAACCACCTGAAGAAGGCCGGAGTGTGCAACGGTCGAATCGTTGAGATAAATATGGCAACAAAGATGGGCAATGTAAATAGTGTACCTTGGTTTTGTTAAGACTAGGTGTGTTGGGTTTGTATTATTGGTATTATAGATGTCTATATACTCGTATCCGACTCTGCCTTTCCGCTCGGGTATCTAGCTAACCCCTGCCTATTTACCAACCAGTAGCTTATACTATGCAACTATGGCCGCTTAATTTACAATTTAACACCCACGCTCAGTTCGCATTAAAAATTTCCAAAATACTTACATTTATCTGCCTTGATAAATTTGATAAAATCTACCGTTTTGGAGTTATCGACAGTGAAATTTGGGATTCAATCGCGTCGTTAGTGGCAGCCATTACTAGCATTGTTTGCATGCATCCGCTGCGGAAACCTAAGCGCGGAAGACTACAGAAAGCTAAGCTCGGAACTGATCTTTCTTGTCTGAATTTGTCTCAGTTACTGCGCACGAGAACTATTTACGTAGACACGCTGTGGCACCATTTACGAGGCAAGAGAAAGGAAGAGAAAGAAAAGAAGGCAGAAAGAAATGCGAGACGGATCATAGGTGATAAGCAGACACACACACGGCTAAGAGACAATGAAAATATTGATAAGTAACAAATGAAAAAAAAAAGGTGTCATTACAATGACAGGGAATTTCTGAGTAAAAAAAGAAAAGGAAAAGAAAGAAGGAACCAGATGTGTTTTGATAACGGCTATGTTATCTAGGTGCGTACACGAATGGCTGGACCACTGGCCTAGGAAAAATTCAAGTGAAAATGCTATTTCGATAAGTGACAAGAAACAGGATACTAAAAAGGACTTTGGACAGATATGAAAATTAAATGCCACCCAAGCAGTCTAGCTGACTGAATTCTTTTCGACGAAACAACTTTGCCCTGCGATAATAAAATTATGTTATCAGACATATGTACCGAAGGAAAATGAATGGGAACCAAAAGTGTTTTTCTTTCTTCCTTGGAGGCGACAGACTGACTGAAAATTTTGGGGATATTTCTTTTCTGAAGCCATGTTACGAAAACCAACCATCTTGATAAATTAGCGATAAACTACCTGACAAACACCACGTGTAAAACAAGAGATGTCATATTGTCCGTTCGTGGCTAGAGAAATGATAACGGCGATTTGAAAGGAAGAAAAAGGAAAGAGAAGGGATAATTAATTTTTTTTTAGTTAAGCAAGGTATTTTTTTCCCGAAACAAAGCCACGGATTGTTCACGCCCGACTAAGACATCTTTGGTCAAGTGGTGATCACGTGACGCACGAAGGAGGAGGAAAGATACCCGACCAAGACCTCATTGGCCGAGAGTGATCACGTGACGCACGAAGAAGGCTGTCAACGCCCCATCCAGAGTATAAGTATGAGAAGCTGCTACGAAGAAGTGGGGAGGGCAGTTCACGCCCACCAGAAGTATGGTGAGAAAGTGGGAGTGAGAAAAATTCCCAAAAATGGAAAAGAGTGGAAAATCCCTAACCAGAAATAAAAGAGGTGGATATGTATTTAGAATTATCGAGGAACCCCCCGAATGCCAACAGACCCACCCCGGTTTTGGTCGGCGTCAATAAAAGCGAAGCCCCAACAGGCAGAAATCAGAATTCGGGCTCCAGTTTCCGGAGTTGAAGCCGCCTCGAGATAGCTGACCAAAATTCACGCAAATTCCGGACTCCTCTTCAACCCAAAAACAATTATTTTGAAGAGCGACTTAGAACCAGACCACCGAAATAAGTTTTTTTTCGACTTTCGTCCAAAGACACACCGAAACACCAATTTCTTAGAGAACAGACAACTTGAAGCGTTAAAACTTGTCTAGCGGAAACGACGTGTCACAATCCACAGAACGGGTCGGGAGATAGATGCAGTCCTATGTATCGAACAACTAGACATAAAGTTTGTTACCTTTTTCTTTGATACTTTGAACTTTTTGAGTTTTCATTTTATTTTCTTTTATGCATATTTGTGTGTTATCACCCCTGTTGAACTGTTTGCATTACGGCCCCAACTATTGTTTGATCTCGTCTGCCTAAGATCAATTCACAACGTGGGTAGGCAGACTGGAGATCAATGCAGTTACCTTGGTAACCAGGCGTTGGAAGCGAGTTGGGAACGACGAGGCTGATATCAAATCTAACCAGATTCCCACCCGAATCACCAAAAGGTTAGAACGTCACATTTGGGTGCCGCGACCGATACCAAGCCAGTTGGTCGTCACAGGACGAGACAACACGACTGACGCGACAGGCGGACGTTTGGAGCAGCGACACCCGAACGGAGCAGCGAGGAGCGAACAGCTGGCGCCGAGGCGAGGACGTCACAATTGGTGCTGTTTGGGGACGTCACAACTGGCGCCGTGGTAGATCAGGATAGAAAGTCACAGTCGGCGCTGCGACCGGGGGACGACGTCACAACGCTCAGTTTACGTAATGATACCTGCACTGATAGCTATTCTGCAGTGAATGTATGCAAACAACGCAAGTAATGGCTGCCCGCGACGCGAATGAATCCGAACTTTCATTGTCACTGTCAATAACTCCAAAACGGCAGATTTTATCAAATTTATCAACCCAGATTCGAATGAAGCATGTACAATTGCACATAAATGTAAATATTCTGGAAATTTTTAATACTAACTAAAGTTTCTCGAAGAGAGCGCATAATCTTGCATGATCAACAGTTTGAATAAGGCCAGAACGTTCAAATCCTCGGTCACGATGACTTATGATATCGTGCCAACAAAGTTATCGCCGAATTCCAAACATCTCCTTCTACCAATTTTCACTCAGATGCCTTGTGTCAGCCTGTAGCATATTTTCAGACACTTTCCGACGGCGCTGTATACTGAAATCCTCTCCCCCAAAAATCAGCTACCTGACAAATCGACCATGGAAAGATTCGAACACTGGTCTCATGGTAATGTATTCAAGTCGAAATGCTAATGTTTTAACCTTACGGCCATGGTAATCTATATATCTTTTAATACAAGATAAATACATTATATGAAACATGCTTACCTAAGACTGGCAAAAGACCAAAGTAACTAAGCGCTCAATCTTGGCACAATAACTTTTCGGACGTTAGCAACAGTCGATGGAACTTGTTAGTTTGCAATTACTCAAGAACAGACTCTCTTTATGTATACCTCTAAATTGAATGTATATATGTAAGCAAATTTCAACGCAAAATATGTACGCATGCAGTGTACGGAAATATAATTCTCTATGGTTGGGATTTATATCTATGCTTATATAAATATGTGTCGTTGTATAAGCAAGTGCGTTGGTGCATGTTTTTGTGATAAAATGACTTGTTAAGACTTTTGCATAAGAACTATATTTTAACGTGTGTACTTTCATATATTAATAAGTATGACTGCTTTTATCATGTCGTTATATGTTATAGTCAGTTTTCATGCGTGTATGTGTGTGTGTGTATTTAATTATATAAGCAGTCCACAAAGCGATTAATGTTATCACAGAAACCAATCCGCAATTGTGAAAAGTCTAATACAACGCCATCTGCTAAGGGAAAGCAACCGAATTGGGCATGTCACGTGTTTCCGGTCACTTCTGGGTCAATGAAGACAAAACTAGGAAAAAATATTACAATCTGTTCTTTATTCTTTTTCGTTATTATTATTATTTGCTGGAGTGATAATCGGCTTCGTAATGAGGGTAGTAGTAGCAAGAATATCAGTGAATATTTTTATCTCCGGTTTCTGCACTCTGTTCGTCTGCTTCACTGAAATGATTTTTATCAATTGGGAGGCCATTTTTTTTTCTTTTTCGTTTCATGCTATTTTAGTTTATTCTTCTGTGTTTATCTTTTTATTGACTTCATGTTTTTTTTTTCTTGTTCCGATTTTCTTTTCGCTTGACACGATAACTATTTCAGTTGAATTTCAAGAAAATCTGTTGGAGGCAAAAGAAAAAGAAAAGAACAACAATTGCCAACATTACAAAAAGTGCCGAATCGTTAGCAGACATTAAAGTTTTTTCCCGTCCCAAATTGGCAGGTTCCTAAAAAGTTGGCAAAAACAGTTTAGTTTGCTTTATGTTTTGATTAAACAAAAGAAAACCGATGTTTAAATTTACACAATCTTTATAACCGTTAAGTTGTTGAGAAAATAATATTCTTTCATTGTTAGTAGAAAAATATTACTGCTATTATTGGCAGCCATTACAATAAGTCAAATTGCTGTTTATACTAACGTTATTATTGCCATGGACATTTCTACCACAACAGCTACTAATTTTTCTACTACTACTGTGGCTACTACTACACTTTCTCCTCCTACAACTACACTTTCTACTACTACTACTAGTACTACTACTACTACGATTACGAGTTTTCTACTGTTACTAATATTGCAACCCTTTCTACTATTACAAATACTACGACTATTACTATTTCTACGACACTTTGTACCACTACTACTACTGCTACGAGCTTTTCTACTACTATTACTGTTACTACGACTCTTTCTACTACTACTATTACTATTTCTATAACCGTTTCTATTATTACTGCTACTACTACGAGCATTTCTTCTACTTCTACTATGCAATGATCTTTTTTGCTACTACAACTGCAACTTCGACCCATTTTACTACTACTACTTTCACAACCCTATCTACTACTACTACTACGGCCCTTTATATTACTACTACTACTAATACGATCATTTATATTACTAGTGCTACGAACTGTTTTACTAGTATTACTATTACGACCCTTTGAAGTACTAATGCTACTACCCTTTCTACTACTACGTCCCTTTCTGCTACTGATGTTATGACTCATTCTACTACTACTACTATTACTAACCTTTCGTCTGTTTTCACTATAGTTTCTACAACAACACCAACAACTACTACTACTTCTAATAAAAATAATAATAATTATTATTATTATAGCACATTTTGTGGTTTTTATTCAGAAACCTTCGAATCCACATATTTTCAAGCTCCCGAGCAAGGTCTTGGTATTTTAGAAATTTTCATTCTCTTTTCTAGTTACACTCTGGTTTACTAGAAAATTCAAGCTCATAATCAAGCAGGTTCTTTTTTTTTATTCACTATTAGCAGTTATATTTCAGGTTCACCCCAGATGCATAGGGATTCTTGTTAGGAATTATGTGACAAAAAAATTTTGATCCAATCTCCAGCGCTTTCCTCTGAATAATTTCAGGCCCAAGTACTGTCAGATTTTGAATATTTCTAACTCTTTCCCAAATCACCAATTCGCTTAGATCTTCTTCTCGCCTTTCTGACACAATTCCAACGAACCGTTTACGATTCTAATCTTGTTGTTCTATATCGTATTCTGTTAACGAATAAATCCAGGTATTTTTATTTTCATTATAAAGGGAGACAGCTATGGAAGAAACTTTTAATCTTCCATTTGCATTTCCCCATTATGGGCATTATATATATATATATATATATATATATATATATATATATATATATATATATATATATATATATATAGAGAGAGAGAGAGAGAGAGAGAGATAGATAGATAGATAGATAGATAGAGAAGAGCAGCATAATTCAGTGACAGAACGTAATGGCTGAAAGGAATGAGGAGGATGCTTTGTTCTCGGAGAAACTTTTATACTACTAAGACATACACAAAAATCTATCTATCTATCTATCTCTCTCTCTCTCTCTCTCTCTATATATATATATATATATATATATATATATATATATATATATACGTGTCCTACGCAGAGAAAAATATATCACATATATCTACATAACAAAGTAGAGTGTGAGGAGAAACAAAAAGGAAGGGTCTTACATATAACATGGATATTCTTCTGTGTTTCTGGAGAAAGGACTCCAGATTCAGGTAGGCCGGATTCATGTATGTCCCAGTCGAGGACATATTCCACGAAGGGGAAACGGCGTGTTTTCCCAAATTGAGGACTGCGAGCCGGATTTTCTTTCTATATCCGAGGAAGATATATTTCCAAAGGGAAACGCCACCATGGACTTGTGAGCTGTACCATTTGCTGCTGGAGGCAGATTTTTAGCCTCAGCCCGGGCCCCTTGGCCCAGGCTATAAAAATCAACCCCTCGCTTTGGTTGCTGTCAACAAACTGATTGACTGGCCCACCTTCGTCACTGTATGAAGTGATGTCACTAAGCAGCTGTCAGGTGACCTATGTGACCTATCTCCACCAAAGAGTTAATCGCCTTCTGTATCCCTGCAACATTTTCTTTAATCTTCCATTTGAGATCAGATGATACAATACAGTCGGTTCTTTCAGAATGTCGCATTCGAACACCATATTTTCGATTGACACATGACATGACCATTTTTGTTGTTTGTTATCGATACATATATGTTCTCTTTCGTTACCTTCTGTATGATATTGAGTTGAAAAGTTGATAGGTTTGATTATAAAGCAGGGATGCCGGAACTGTGAAATCTACGAAGGAGTCAGCCTATAAAATTTTCACCCGACTCGTATACCAACATTTAAATCATATTAATTGCTTTCGGGAACTCATTTGAATCTTTCAGCAAAAAAAGATCGGTTGGAAGACCTCATCACACCTACATCGACCGACTTGTAGATGACTCTGGATGTCATCTGGAGGACCTGTCGACAGCCATGTCTGACGGAGATGGCTGGAAGGAACGAGTCAAGAGAATCCGAGAAGAATTCTCGACCTGATGATGATGATGATGAATTGTTCTTATTTTGAATCAAATTAATTAGTATAATTTTCTGATAGTTTAATTTTTTGTGACACAAGCGGTCTTAATTTCAAAGACGGTAATTTATTGAATAAAGGGCTTTGTGAATGAAACGAGATACAGAGCTACCTCGGTCGTCGAACGTCTCACATGTCGAACAAAATGTTTTTCCGAACAGAAAATTCGAGATAAAAATGCCTCGGTTATCGAACAAAATTTCGGTTCTCGAACAACATTGCCGAACCGAGTTAACCCGAACGGAATCATTTCTGAATCGACCGCCGCGTTGTATATATTCGTGAGCTGTGCCGTGCTTCCCCCACCACCAATTTTATTGTACTGCGACTTTTTTCTCTACATTGATTCCTACTGGAAAAAAAATAGTTTCGGTTTACGAACATTTCGGGTTACGAACAACCTTCAGGAACGAATTAAATTCGTGAAGCAAGATTCCACTGCATCTATAATATTCAGGAGGAATTTTTCACGTTTCCAACTAACGTGTATCTTATTTTCACGTATACTGTTGATGTGTATATTTAAAGTTTTTTTTTAGCGATAAATTACCCTACTTACTTCATATGAAGCGCTAAAAAGAAGGCTCTTACGATTCCCTTACAGAGCGAAATTTTGACAACAGAATAAAAATTTAAACATCTATGCTGCTCTGTCACTTAATACTGATATATGAAGCCCAGGCTGATAAGGATATACAAGACATTTGAATCGCAGCCAAATATGGACGATTTGGGGACAGGTTTTTGATAAACTGTATATTCTTGCAGGTGGGGTCCAATTAAAAATACATTCAGGTCGAGTAACCTCAGCCCACCCAACTGAAGGCATTCCCAAGTATATCGATGTGAGTCCCAAGTTGCCTTGGGTGACTCATTCTTCAAACTTCAAAGAACAATCGTCTCGATCTTCGACTTTTATTTTCCATCTCCCTTCGGCACGTAGGCGAACATGTCTTTCCCCTCCCCTTATCCCTTGTAGTTCTCAATATTTTTTGTGCTTTTGTTACTTCTCCCACACCCTGTTCTGTTATCCATTTGCTTAAACCCGTTAAGTATGTCACGCGTTGCTGTCCGTTGTCTCGCTTTCCTGCTATCCGCCCTGTGAGTATCAGATTCTCTAGGCCCTGCTTTCTCATTACGTGTCACCAAAATTTCAGCTGCCTCTTCCTGATGTTAAGTATAAGCTTCCTCCTTGTTTGCATCCTCTCCAAAACCCCATCGTTGCTCACATGTTCGGTCCATGGTATCCTTAGTAGCCTTCTGTAGAACCATACCTCCGTTGTCTCGAGTCTCTTCTTCATCTTTGAGGAGACCGTCCAACATTCGCTGCCGTAAAGGAGGACAGATATCACGTAGCAGTTCAGTACTATTTTCTTTGTTAACAACGAAATCCTTCTGTCTCGTAATACTCTGCCTAGCTTTTGGAATGCGTCTTTGGCTATCCCAATCCGTCTTCAGCATTCAGCATTGCAAAGCCGTAATGTTCTTTCAATACTCTTGCTCATGGCCGGAAGTGCACAACAGATTAAATTCATACAAGCAAATCTGTGGTAGTGAATGGCATATTTAGTGTAGTCTATCTTAATTTACCAAGAAAATGGTAATGGCAATATTAGCCGTTTCCCTATAAGGAAACATTTGGCGTTCATTAGCCGAACAGACAGTACTACTTTCGATCGAAATTTATATAATCTTTCTCTTAAAACAATTTTTTAGGAAAAAAAGTGTTTTAAGTGTTTTCCGTCTTTCTCGTATAAATGATGGGTTCCCGTCCTAAACTTTTTATTTGAAGTAGTGTTGAATGTTAATATGTTGATTATGTATTTTTTCCTCTTCTATTTGTATGTTCTATCCATTTTAGTTGTTGCTGCTTTTGGTTGTCCTCAAGTTATATGGTTTCTATTATTCATTGTTTGTGATTCTGTAGCGCCAGTCCCCAATGTTCTAAGAAGAATGCCCTGTGCTAAGACTCTCAGGCTATTTTCAACACGAAGCGGTTGTATACAACTAACAGTTTAGATACTTCTGACGAACTTTGGTGACATATATGGCATCCATTTAAACGATTTTCTCTGATAAGAATATTTAAGAAGATGAGTCCAATTTTTACATGTGCATATTTATAAATCCAATCTTGTAGGTGGGGTCCAATAAAAATACCTTCAGGTCGAGTAACCTCAGCCCACAAGAGGGTCATTCCTGGCGTAGAATCATAGATTATTATTATTTTTATTATTATTAGTTACAATATTTTCTCATATAACATATTAATATCTGGTAATTAATGCCAGTCCTGGGTAAAACTATAAACTGCATCCAACAGCAAGGCCTCTGTTCAGGAGGTTTTGAGGAACGTGGAACCACCTCTTAATTGCTGGTGTTTCCAGGTCCACCCTAACCCGGGTGGTAGCACCTGTTAGGGTCCCACCTATGGGCAAATAGTTAACCCCCAAACTGGGGTCAAAACACTATGAACGTGTAAAAATAGGCTTTAATACTAGAAATATTTTGTAAAATGATTATTACCAGCAATACATTTAAAAAAAAAATATTACCAGCAATCAAATTTTGTCGGCATTAAATAACCCATTGAGGTTGATATGCCGTAAAACAAAATAAACAAAACCAAACCAGAAAATACCATTTTATATGTTTCATTTAAAAGATGTTTTGTTGTTAAATGAATAGAATCAGAAAATTCGGATAACAACAAAAACCTGGATAGACAAATCTCAACAGTATCAAAGATCTTCCTGATAAGTGGCATCGAGTCTTTGAAAATAATGGTGAATTATTATTGAATAGAATAAAATATAATTATTCTTCGAAAGATAAAATACAAAGTTGATAAAATAAAAAATAGAAATTATTTATAATTCAACTTTGTAATGAAATAATTCTTGATCCCAATTTAAGATAAAAATTATTAATTTATAATAATCTTTTATATAACCAATATACAAAAATTAAATTAATTTTTTTAAACTAGAATATTTTAATACCAGAAATATTTTCAAAAATAATTATTATCAGAAATACATTTTTCAAGGAAAAAAATATTACCAACAATACATTTAAAAAAAAAATATTACCAGCGATCAAATTTTGTCGGCATTAAATAACCCACTGAGGTTGATATGCTGTTAAACAAAACAAAACAAACAAAAAGAAACCAAATTAATGCATTACAACAATAGCAAACAACCTTAGGTATCATGCAATTTATATCTGAAAATTTCAACACATTTAGGATTATTCTCGCTATCCGTATGATTTTTCCTTTCTGTAATATTTCCATTGGACAATCAATACCAATTTTCTTTATTAGCGTCTCTATTCTGTCAGGCACTGTAGCAAGTTTACCAATGACATCTGGTATGACTGACCCTCGAAAGCAAAGCTAATTCGAATTTCAGTGGGTCATAGTTTCTCTTTTCTTTACTTTGTTTTACTCTCTAATTTCTCTTTGTCTTGTTCAATAATTACTGTTTTTCCTTTTGGCCAATCATTTCTCTTCTTTCTTATTTTGTCTCTCCTGACTCGTTCCTTTTGGTTTATTTTTTCTCAGGATCATTTTGCGCAATTATTTCTCTTCTTTCATTGGCTCTATTCTCCCTTTTGTTACATCCTTTCTGTTTTCCCTTTTGCTCAATCGTTTCTCTCCTTCCTTTTACTCAATCCTTCTTTTTGCTCAGTCCTTTATTTCCTTCCTTTTGCTCAATCCTCTCTCGTTCCTTTTGTTTAATCTATTGTTTTGCTCAATCTTTTCTTTCGCTCAATCCTTCCTTTGCTCAATCCTTCCTTTTGCTCAATCCTTTCTCTCCTTCTTTTGTTCAATCTGTTCTTTTGCGCAATCATTCCTTGTGCTCAGTCCTTCTTTTTACTCAATCCTTTATGTCCTTCCTTTTGCTCAATTCTTCCTTTTGCTCAATCTTTTCTCTTCTTCGATTTGCTCAATACTCCCTCTTGCTCAATCTTTTCTTTGCTCAATCCTTTATGTCCTTCCTTTTGCTCAATTCTTCCTTTGGAGAAATCCTTTCTCTACTTCGTTTTGTTCAATCTATCCTTTTCCTCAATTCTTCCTTTTGTTCTATCCTTTCTGTGCTCAGTCCTTCCTTTCGCCCAGCCCCTTCTTTTGCTCAATCCTTTCTTTTGCTCAATCTTTCCTCTCCTTCCTTTTGTTCAATCTATTCGTTTGCGCAATCCTTGCTTTTGCTAAATACTTCCTTTTGCTCAATCCTTTATGTCCTTCCTTTTTCACAATCCTTCCTTTTGTTCAATTCTTTCTCTCCTTCATTTTGTTCAATATATTCTTTTACTCAAACCTTTCTTTTGCTGAATCCTTTCTTTTTCTCAATTCTTTCTTTGCTGAATCGTTTATGTCCTTCATTTTGCTCAATCATCATCTCCTTGTATAAAAAATTCACTAGGAGAAACTCAGATACAAAATAGCAGTGATCAAAAACCTCCAAAAGAAAGCACACGAGAATTCATCATCTCGTCTACTGTTCCTTAAGGAACTCAATAATGCACACACACACACACACACACACACACACACACACACACACACACACACACACACACACACACACAGATATATATATATATATATATAAGCGTTTCACCCCAAGCAAGGCGAGAAGCCACTAGGACGCAGGGGGTTACAGAAGATCAGATAGGAGTGATAGAAGAAAGGATGAGGAGAAGGGTAGTGGAGAGATCAAAGCAACTGGAGATGTCGATTGACATTACATTTGAATAGCTGGAGATTATATCTCCCAGGGAAACTGGAATAGGGAAGGGAGTTCCACATGCAAGAGGTGCGAGAGATGAAGCTATTGGAGTAGAAGAGACGGCTACATTTAGGAGTTTCGACAATGAAAAGGTGAGAGCGGGATGCCAGCCTCGTCGGTCGCTTGAACTCATGAAGTCTGGGAACCAGCGAATGCAGCTCCTCGGAGCAATTGCCATGAAAGTATTTGTAAAACAGACAGAGAGAGGCGACGGCGTGTCTGTGAGAAAGTGTCTGTAGACGAGATGCCAGATCAGGGCCAATTATACTGCATATCCACCTCTGGAGCCTATCAAGAACCCCGATGCATACAGAAGGGGCTCCAGACCATATATGGCAGCATATATATATATATATATGTATGTATATATATATATATATATATATATATATATATATATGTGTGTGTGTGTGTGTGTGTGTGTGTGTGTGTTTATATATAAACAGTCCATGGATCTATAGATCTTAAATAATGCTATAAAAACGAACATATTAAAATTTTATATATAAAATGAGAAATAAGAGGAAGACTCAGTAGCTAGCAAATAAACAAAATATAATCACACTCCGAATTTATTAAGCTCCACCAGCCATTCCTTCCGCTTACAAAAGGAATGCTGCTTAGAACTAATGTGTAATGTCTGTAATCGGAGTGTCATTTTATTTTCTTGTACTGATTTCCAAACTGTTCTTAATCTATTGTTTATTTTTTCAAACGTTGTGCACACAATTTACATGTTTGTCCTCAATTGGATTCGAAGAGCGAGGATCGAAAACGATTTAGCTTCTTTTTTTGTTCTTCTCTTGTTTATTGTTGTTATTGTTTCAATTCACCTTCTTATTTTATTATTCTTGCACTCCTCCCCTCTTTTGTCCTTCTTTTCTTTTTACGTGCCGTGTCCTTTCAGGACGTAAACAATCATAGCCCTCCCCTTCCCCATATCCCTTGTGGCTTTCAACAGATTTTGCGTTTCTACCATCTCCCCCAGACCACGCTCCGACATCCATCTGCCCAAGAGCACCACGTATGTCAGGCTTTCTCCCTGTCTCTTTTCTCCTCTATCCATCCCGTGACTATCAGATTCTCCAAACCCTCCTTTCTCATCAGGTGTCCCAGAAATTTCATCTGCCTCTTCCTTATGTTAAGCAAAAGCTTCCTCCTTGTTTGTATCCTCTCCAAGACCTCACCGTTGCTCACAGAATCGCTCCATGATATCCTCAACATTAATATCCTTACAATTTTAACATGGTCGTTTTATAGCATGAACAGATGTATTTGAAAGGAATGAAATATATATAGATGTATGTGTGCGCGTGCGTGTGTGTGTGTATATGTGTAAGTGAGAGAGAGCGAGAGAGAGGGAGAGTATGTGTGTGCATGTGCGGTCGCGTGCTTGTCGTGTTATGGCTATGTCGGACGGCAGTCGAACTCTCTGCCTTTGGGGAGAGAGGAACCCGGACGAGGCTATGCCGAAGGGCAGAGTTTCGTCCGGGGTGGTAGACAGACCCAATCCCGTTTATGCGGGGTCTACGGGGAGTTTTTGGCCGAGCCTAAGGGGTCGGGAACCCCACATTAAATTCGGCCTTGTGCCACATGTGACTGCGTGGGACAGTTACTAAATAGCGTCGTGTCACGGCTATCTATTGAGATTACAGCTTTTTGCTGATGATGATGGCTCGTAAATTACGGGAATGTGTTTTGTTCAAAATTCTCACTCACCAATTCTAATTTTCGACAACGATAATCTTTTTTTTTTTAATATGTCTAGCAACAAGACAGATGCAAGGCGAAATTAACATCAGGAGATTCTGTCGAAATTCGAACTTGGTTTTGTCGATTCCATTCTCAGTAACTGTTACGCCCGTTTGCTCAATCTCTCTCTCTCTCTCTCTCTCTCTCTCTCTCTATATATATATATATATATATATATATATATATATATATATATATATATATATATATATATATATATATATATATATATATATATCGATGCTTTCATGCGTTAATGTTTGTGATTGTATTTTTTCTTTTCTTGTTTTTGCTTGCGGATGAAATCACTTGTACAAAGGTGGCGTAAAATGAGGATACAATTTAAAGACAGGAAAAAAAAAAGATTTGGATAAAGAAAAAAAAAGAAAGAAAATGTCTGCTGTCCGTATAGGCAGCGCCATCTGTTGTCAAGCGGTGTAAAGCGAAAGAATCCCTTCCGGTTGTCTACCGTCGTTGTCCAAATCGCTTCTGATAGTTTTAACTGATTTTTTTTCTCCGTTTCGCCCCAGCATCCGAAGTTTCGAATTACCCTTTCGTAGATAAAGGTGCATCAAACAGTCATAGTCAACTATGTACACCCGCATTAATGCCATTATCGACATACGCATGCCCTTATATAAAGACAGTTCGTAGATGTCGAAATCTTTTCCGCCTGCTGTAGAGTAATGATTATGCTGTAAAATCCGACCGACGATAGTCACTGTGCCGCCCACTACGATTGAATTTAGTCATGATTCATTTCGTTGCTGGTTTATCAAATTTATTCTTCAAACAGATAAAATAAAATTACATTTTATTCAAATATATAATCAGCATAATTTACTTTTACCGAAAGGGCTCGGACGAACTATATTCCCTAGTTCCGCTGAGTAAACCTTCACGGCAAGAACTCGCCATGTCAGTTACTTAGTAGCAAACCCCCACATTCTCTTCATATCCCATTGGTGATAAGTAAGTTCCACTTGAACAGCGTCTTCCCGTGGAACTGACTCCCAACGGGATATATATATATATATATATATATATATATATATATATATATATATGGTTGCATTGATGTGAGTTTGTGACCCCTGGTTTCACTCTTCTGCGATCGTCAGACGAACTGACAAATTGAGCGCTTTCTAATAAGTACCGCGCATATAATATATAATTAATTATATATATATTTATATTTATATACACACACACACACACACACACACACACACACACACACACACACACACACACACACACACACACATATATATATATATATATATATATATATATAATCTGCTGTCATATTTGGGTGGAAGCTGCCCAGACCTCACTCTTTAGCCTTGATAGAGTCCAAAATAGTCTCCAAGCCCTTATGGATGACAAACTATACTCCACCCTTCAACCTCTCTCCCACAAGTGGGATGTGGCAAACATCTCACTGCCCTATCACTACTTCTACAGAAAGTGCTTGGACAAACTACATTCCCTAGTCCTACTGAGGTAAACCTTCACAACAAGAACACACCATGTCAATGACACTTAACAAACCACCTACATTCTCCCCATATCCCATCGGTGAGACGGAAGTTGTAATCGATCAGCTTCTTCCAGCGAACCACTTCTTTGTGGAACCGACTCCTAACAGGATGTTTCCTCGATCGCTAAAATCTTAACGATTTCAAGGCTGGATTAAACCGTTGTCTTCTATTACTATACATACAAATGGCCTCCAAGCATGACACTCTAACTCGAGTGTCCTCCGGGCCTTGTAAACTGTGAACATCGCTATAAAAAATGCAATGATGGACATCAAAGTCAAATTATTGACTCGCTGTGAGCGAAATAAACAGTAGATGCATTGGTAGATCACAGGACTAAACACAGTAGATGCAGTTGCAAAACACAGTACTAAACAGTTGATGTATTGGCAGATCACAGTACTGAATTTAAAATGAAGGTCCATTGATATCTTTTGTCGTGAAAAAGTTTTCAATGAACTCATGAATCTGGCTTTCATCACAAAAGAAAAAAAAAACTTGCCTGTTTTGCAGCAACCGAAAACCTTATTTGTTGCAAATTCAGGTAAATATAGATGGGGTGTAGGATCAACCAAAGAGTTCTAAAATGGCCTTTCCACGTGTTATTTTGGCTGTATTCAGCCCTGCATAATTCGCTGCGTTCGTTTCTAAAGCCGTGCAAAAAGTAAGCTATATCAGTGTGGTGAAGGCAACCATGGTTGTCTCCCACTCGAACTACTCGACTATAAAAAAATAGTTGAATCTCACTTATGCGGAGGAGTCAAAATGCATTGAATAAAGCTTTACTGCGAGCTTGAATGTTTTTTTTTTAATAGGCATCATCGTCATCACCACTCCATACCGATAACATCAGGATGTCTCCTTCCTGCCAAATCGACCATGGTGAGATTCGAACCCTGGTCTCATGGTCATAATGCGAAAGTTCTAACCACTACTGTAAAAAATAAAAATGTTGATGCTATGGTTTACATCACAAGTGCATTTATGAGTTGGAGTTGTTAGCTCTACGGTTAACGCGTTCTCTATTCTGCTACACTGATTGCCATACAAACCCTAAGCTGTCCAGTCTGCCTTGCTAATAAAGCCGAGATGGAATTGGAGGGGAGACGAGATATATTCATATTTTTCCAAGAGCATTTATGCAAAAGCTAAATGCAACGTTATCGGATGGAATTTTATTGGCTGCAAGATTACTTTTCACGCTGAAAACGCTACTTCTGACAAAACTTCTAGTGAATGATTTTGCCAATTTAATAATGCCATTATTATTATTATTATTATTATTATTATTATTATTATTATTATTATTTACTTTGATTTCTGGTGTATAATCACTTCTTTTCGGGTCCCAACCAGAGGCCTAAGGTCAGAAATGGCATCATGACATTTTTCAATGATCATTTTTAACCCGTTACCTGCCATGAGCCTCATTTGGGGATCTATTAAAATTAAACTCACTACATATTATTCCTTGTATTTACATTGAATTGCTTACATACATTGCATTTGCAGGGTTATGGTATATTTTACAACACTTAGCCTTTAAACTTTTTATATTAGCCGTAACTAATCATAGAAGACACTTTCTGTCGTAATATTACATTTCACGTGTAGAAAAATAATAACTATTTTGAAAAGTAATTTTTAATTATTTCTAATCAATATTATGTTTTATACACATATATATTTGATTTTCTAGTTTCTATAAAGTTTCAAAGTACGAGCTATTCGAAGAAAATTTTAATATTGTATGTTGTTTTAACTCCTAAGACATCTGGCTGGTCCAAAAATGCGCATTAAAAAAAATGTGGCAGTTAATAGATTAAATGTGGTGTTAGAATTTTGGGGTACTTCGTTGTACTAGTGAGGTAGCCAAAATGAGCTGAGTCATTTTATAGTTCACCAATAGAAGGGTTAACCAATCAGAAGGCTCAAAATATTCAATGCGACGTGTATAAAGGCAGCCATGTTTTTCCCCGAATATTCACTGACAGCCAGCCTTTGATATCGAAGACTGAATAATTACAGAACAGCTGCTTGTGGTATTGGCGATATAGGCAGATTCAGTAGAGTGTCTGACTCGTGAGTATTAATCTTTAACGTTGTTTTATTGAACAGATTACGTACTACGCTGTATTCTATATTCATAGACTATGGTGAACATGGTTAACATGTGGCACAAAAACAAAATATTATTATTATTATTATTATTATATTTCGATTTCTGCTATGGTCACACTGCGTACCGAGTCTGCAGGAAGAGCTAAGACAGGTATTTGTGTGTTGTTATGGTTACATTTCATGATTTGTTGTTCTAACTCCTATATAACATCACTAACGTTACATGGACAAAATTCTTCTTAGAGTGTGGGTTTTACCTATGAAGACAATATTTATTTTTATTTCTATTAAGCTGGGATATCCAGGGATTTTTTTTCACTATGTTGTTGTGCTCCTTTTTTTATAATTCCTAGCGCACCTACTATGACTGGTACTGTTCTTGTTTTCAATTTCCACATTATTTTTATTTCGATTTCCAAGCCTTTATACTTCTTGTTGTTGTTCTTGTCATTATTATTATTATTATTATTATTATTATTATTATTATTATTTTCTTTGATTTCTGGCGTTTACACATTTCTTTCCGGGTCCTGTCCAGGGACCTAAGGTTAGAAATTGCGTCATGACATTTTCCACTGAAAAAAAAAAAAATTAAATTACATAGATAAAGCCCTTCGTAAAGTGTGGGCTGTACTTGTCAGAACAATTTTTTGTATCTCCTTGAGGCATGGACTTCCAGGAATCCCTTCAATTAGTCTACTGCAATCTTTTCCAACCAGTCCTAGGGCTCCAACTACAACAGGGATTGTTGATGTTCCCATATGCCACATTTTCGAGATTTCTATTTCAAGGTCCTTGTACTTTGACAACTTTTTGAATATCTTCAAAGATACATTGCAGTCAGCAGGGACTGCCATATCAATAAGGAGGCACCGTTTTTGTTTGTGGTCTTTAATAACAATATCTGGCCGGTCGGCCTTGATTGTTCTGTCAGTGTGTATTGTGTAATCCCATAGAATTGTAACAGGTCCTATCTCCGTAACCGGGTCTGGGTGGTGTTCATACCAGTTTCTTTCAATTTCCTTCCCGTAGAAGTTGCAGATTTTCCAGTGCAGATATTGGTCCACTCTGTCATGTCGGGTTTTATATTCAGTGGGTGCCAACATCGTGCAACCTGATACAAGATGATCAATTGTTTCTGGATATTTATCACAGAATCTGCATTTTGGGCTGACACAATATTTTAGTATATGTGCTTGATAATTTCTAGTTAACAAGCATTGGTCCTGTGCAGCCAGGATAAAACCTTCAGTTTCAGCTTTCAACCCTGCACTATTATTATTATTATTATTATTATTATTATTATTTAAACTTGACATTCAATATTGTGATCTGCAAATGCTTTCTCTGTTTCGTTTGCTTACACCGAGTAAAAGATTCATTTTTGATATTTGTTGGTTTTCAACTGATCGCCGATTATTTGAAGAATGGCCGCTCATACCTGATGCCCCGCCGACTCGTGTTAACGTCTTTATCTTTACAGTATTTACATTAGTCGGACTGTTGTCCTCATCTTTGTCGCCATATTTGTCACAAGGTTTCGGCCGTTGTACGCTCCGGCCTTCTTCAGGTGGTTGGAATTTCGAACTGAACCCTTTATTTCGATCACTGGGGTAGACTGTTCTAGTTCCACGTGCCTTGTTTAATGGATGTTAGTTATCAGTTATCTCCTGTTAATTTCCCTCTGAAAGTTCTCCAAGTTTAACCAGGAATTGAACTCACCTTCTTTGGGTCTGTCACTGGATCTAACCAACGCCTTTATCCACTGTGCCATGTGTCCTTGAGGCCGAAACGTTGTGACAAATATGGCGACAAAGATGAGGACAATAGTCCGACTAATGTAAATACTGTACATAATACCTCATCTCAGAAATATAGACAGTCTTTATGTTTCATGAAAACTTTGGTAGTTTTTTTTTCTTAGCTATTCATAAGAACGGTAAATAGGACGTTTTGAAGTTGTGTGATGGTTAACAAGATCAATTACGACTGAGTAGTGAGTTCGATCCTCACTAGATGCTCCATACTTTCGGCCTTGTGCCACATCAAAACTACGCTTAGAAAGTCATTTTGGGACGCTTTGACGCGTTGTAACGGTAAGCAAGCTTGCATCATTAGATCGATTACCATTGAATTGTGAGTTCGATTCTCACTGGGTGCTCCACTCATTCGGCCTTGTGCCACATTTAAGATATCATAAGAACGATAAATACAAAAATGCGTGCAAAATATTGATAGCTTTTAATTCCGATTGATTTCAGGTAATTAATAATTGGGTATTGCCATGGAAACAAAAAGGTACATACGTTATAATCGGACTTAGCGTACTTACCGTATTGAGCACTCTACGTTTTAGCTTTACTACTCGCTTGGTTGTCTTTTTTCTTTGGACTAAAGACTTAAGGCACAATAGGGTATTCTCTTTTACAATAAACCTCTCGTCTCTCATCTACGCGCGTGTTGCTGTCCCTTCAGTCGAGTACCACCTTTGTCTGTTTGTAACCTCTTTAAGGATACAACAGTTAACCGTTATCTTCCACTCCTATATGCACAAACTGCCTCCTAACGTTACCCTCTACATTGAGTGGCTCCCGTTCCTTGTAAAGGGAGAAATTTACTGTAAAATAATCTATCTATCTATCTATCTATCTATCTATCTATCTATCTATCTATCTATCTATCTATCTCTTTTAGTATGTTCATGCATATCTGTCGATAGCAAATTCATTATATCTCAATCTTTTTACATCTGTTTGACATCTATTAGCTGCAAAGCCCAAATTTTCACGAACACCTCTGTCGCTCACCTTCGACAATTACCGCTGCTCTCACTGCCATAATAACCACGGTAATGACAAAAACACCCCGTTATTTCCAACCCCTACGATTCACATTATTTATCTATCTATCTATCTATCACAGTTTGTTTCTATCTATCTATCTATCTATCTATCTATCTATCTATCTATCTATCTATCACAGTTTGTTTCTATCTATCTATCTATCTATCTATCTATCTATCTATCTATCTATCTACCTATCTATCTATCCCAGTGTGTTTCTTTTTCTATCTATCTATCTATCTATCTATCTATCTATCTATCTATCTATCTATCTATCTATCCCAGTTTGTTTCTATCTATCTATCTATCTATCTATCTATCTACCTCTTTTAGTATGTTCATACATATCTATCGATATCAAATTCATTATATCTCAGTCTTCTTACATCTGTTTGACATCTTTTAGCTGCAAAGCCCAAATTTTCACGAACACCTCTGTCACTCACCTTCGACAATCACCGCTGCTCTCACTGCCACAATATCCACGGCAATGACAAAAACACCCCGTTATTCCCCACCCATTACGATTCACATTACCACCCACTTTCTGGGCCTCCTGTTCCTTTCCTCTCGGTCCTTGCTTGGGTCTCGCAAACCTTTCCATACCTCACAAGCATCTTCGGCAACACTTATCCGCCGTCTCCTCTGTCGGCATCATCGCATCTGTTGTTATTGCTTTTCGGAAGAGAGCGACAATTTTGATTAAACTGCTCTGACTGACGACTTCGCAGCCAGCCTCCTTGTCCCCTATCCGCCTCTACCCTCCTCGTTTCACGTCACCCATAATCTTCTCTTATTATCCACCGAAAAATCGTCTTCTTATTCTTAGGATCATTGTTGTTGTTGTTGTTGTTGTTGTTACGTGTTTTCAAGGGTTATTGTTATTTTTGTTTTCACAACAGTCGACATGGCCGCGTCGTTGTTGTCACAGCTGTTGATAATATCCTTTATTTACAGGACGCTTGGCGGCATTGTTGATATTTTTGCTCTAGCCGATGGCCGGAGAGCGGCCGCCACTAGCCAAAACGACTATAGACGCTATCTTGTCTTTTTACTATAGGTTTTTCTTTTTGTCATTTCATTATCATTTTTGTCTTTTATTTTCTTATTTTTCTTCTTTTTTATGTTTCATTCATTTTCTTTTCTTCTTCTTCATCTTTTATTCTTCTTGAGCGTTTTGATATTTTTATTCTCTTTCTCGTTTTATTTACTTCACGCCTACTATGTTTTTTTTTTATCTTTTTTCAACACATTTAATTCTGTTTTCTTTTTCCTTTCATTCGTTTTGTCATACAATATTTATTTCATTTTATTTATATTTTTATTCTTGATTTTTTTAAAATAATTTCTTGCCGTCTATCTTGTTAACATTTCTTCTTTGTACACTGTGGTTTTTAAACGCATTCATCTGATATTTTTTCTTTCTTTCTTCTTTCTTTCTTTCTTTTCTCGATTTCCTTTCTTTCTTTCTTTTATTCCCATTGTTTTTTTAATCATCCATTTTTCTTTTCATCTTGGTTGTTTTCTTTCTTTCTTTCTTTCTTTTTTCTTTCTTTCTTTCTTTTCGTTTTTCTTGAATTACTTTCGGTCTTTTTTATTCCCATCCTTTTTTCAATCATGTATTCTTTATTTTTCATCCTGGTTTCTTTCTTTCTTTCTTTCTTTCTTTCTTTCTTTCTTTTCGCGATTTGCTTTCTTTCTTTCTTTCTTTCTTTCTTTCTTTCTTTCTTTCTTTCTTTTCTTCTTTTCTCGATTTGCTTTCTTTCTTTCTTTTCTCGATTTGCTTTCTTTCTTTTCTCGATTTGCTTTCTTTCTTTCTTTTTCTCGATTTGCTTTCTTTCTTTCTTTCTTTTCTCGATTTGCTTTCTTTCTTTCTTTTCTCGATATGCTTTCTTTCTTTCTTTCTTTTCTCGATTTGATTTCTTTCTTTCTTTCTTTCTTTCTTTCTTTTCTCGATTTGCTTTCTTTCTTTTATTCCCATCGTTTTTTTAATCATTTATTTTTCTTTTTATTTTGGTTGTTTTCTTTCTTTCGTTTTTTTCGTTTTTATCGAATTACTTTCGGACATTTTTATTCCCATCCTTTTTTCAATCATGCATTCTTTATTTTTCATCCTGGTTTCTTTCTTTCTTTTTCCTTCTTTTTTTTAACATCCACTTTTTCTTTTTCATCCTGATTTCTCTCTTTCTCTCCTTTTCTTTTTTTTCACTTTTCATCTTTCTTTCTTGTTTTCTTTTGTTTTTGTTTTTCTCGCTTCGCTTACCATACGACCCATTTGTTCATTCTTCTTTGCCTTCTCCCTTTCCACTTATTATTCTCTTTCACGACGATAGCTACAAAATAATATCGTCTGTCTAAAGTAGATATATATTCTCCAATCTTCCATTGAAGAAAATACCAAATGCGTAAAGACCTCTTTGACCAGACTTCCAATATGGCAAGATTTTCTAAATCCACAATAGTAAAATCGTTTTTCTTCAATTCTCGCCAGAAACTAAAATGTAAGATTGAACCTGTCCTTAAAAAAATATCGTCTATCGCCAGTAATTAATCCCGAAACTCGAAGAAGCAATATAAATAACTTAAAGGCAAGAGATAACAAAAATGGCAGAAGCATCGTTTAGGAATAACAGCCCTAGGGCAGACGACGATGAATCTAGGGGGAGGAAGCCGTTGGTTCGATTCTTGGAGTAGTGATTTCTTGGGAGATATTTTTTTAATCATAATTTTCAGATGCACTCAATTTTCTTAAAATCTGTTGGCTACGAGTTATGTTGTTCAAGGATAGTCTTGTTCGGTGTATATTAGAGATATTCTTGTTGTGAACAAAGTTCTCTGTACGTCTTTTTAGCGAATAAGTTGTCTGTATGTTTTCTTAGCGAAAAAAGTTGTCTGTGAATCTTTTGAGCGAATAAAGTATTCTGTGCGTCTTTTTAGCGAATAATGTTGTCTGTGCGTCTTCTTAGCAAATAAAGTTGTCCGTGCGTATTTTGTCATTCTTTGTTACATAGCGACCCCCATTAACCCCCTCCCCCCGCAAAAAAAGTGAAGAAAAACTGGATATTAGTAATTGAAAATAATTCTGAATGTCTTCCTTGTTTGATCAGGTTTGAATTAACTCTCAAACATATTTTTTTTTGCAATATGTATGCAATTTATAAGAATTATGAAATGAAAAGACTATATTGAAACTATTTCCGGGTCTGCTGCTGAGAAAGTTAGGTTCACTGTATCGTGCAAGACAATTTTTCTCTCCAGAATCTATCTTACATATCTATAAGTCTACCATTCGTCCATGCTTAGAGATATTGCTGCTGCATATATGTCCAGTGTTCTTGCTATAGATTTAGAGATTCTTGATAAAATTCAAAGAAGAATCTGCAATATTATTGGTCCTGATCTTTCATCTCAGCTTCAGTCATTTTCCCACCGCCGTAAAATTGCTTCCCTGTGACTTTTCTAAAAAATACTTTCATGGTAATTGTTCGGATGAGCGCTTCTTTATGGTACCTAGACTTTATGAATTTAAACGACGTGCCAGATTGGCAGCAGGGTCTCATGAATTTACAGTTGAATTGGATAGAGGTAACCGTAAGTTCTATGCTAGCAGTTTCTTTAAACGCACTTATTGTTTGTGGAACACTCTTCCGACTCCATGCTCTCCAACCAGTTTTGATCTTCAAAATTTCAATGCAGGGTCAATTGTTAACTACTGTCTTCCTGATTACTCTTCTATTGTTCTCGATCCTCAATCATGTTTCTGTTTCCTAATTCTTTCACACCCACTAACCTTATGTATCTTAGTGGCTTTACTGTCTTGCATGGGGTGAATTCAATCATAAAAATTGTAATAGACATCGATAGAGACCCTCGACGTGTTGTAATGGTTAGAAAGCTTGCCTTGCCCGATCAATTACGAATGAGACGTGAGTTCAGACATCACTAGGTGTTTCATATACTGTCCTTATGCCACATCTAAACTGAGCATAGTAAATCGCTATATATATATATATATATATATATATATATATATATATATATATATATATATATAGTTTGGTTTGGTTTATTTTGTTTTTACGGCATATCAACCTCAATTGGTTATTTAATGCCGACAACATTTTTAGGATAGATTCGTATGAATAGAGTATGCATTCTTTGGTTTAGATTGGTTTGGTTTATTTTATGTTACGGCATATCAACGACAATGGGTTATTTAATGCCGACAACATTTTTATTGCTGGTAATATTTTGTTTTGTCAAAAATCTGTTTCTGGCAATATTTTTCCTTCAAAATTGTATTGCTGGTAATATTTTTTTTCAAAGAGTACTGCTTGTCATACTTAACTATTTACCCATAGCTGGGACCCTAACAGGCGCTACCACCCCGGGTCAGTGTGGACCTGGGAACACCAGCAATTAAGAGATGGTTCACGCGCCTCAAAACCTATATATATATATATATATATATATATATATATATATATGTGTGTGTGTGTGTGTGTGTGTGTGTGTGTGTGTGTGTGTGTGTAGTACGGGGATTAGAAAAAACCCAAAAAAAAAAAAAAAAAAACAAAATTACCTCAGCATAGATATAGTCTATTTCAAACTAATTACAAACAAGTCCTGGCCATAAATAAACTCCAACTTGAGACCACTTACCCAGGGATAAGATACCTTACGCCCCAACAATCGCTTGCACAAAACCACTCTCATTAACAAGTCGTCTACGTGAGGAGGACTGACATTGGAAATAAATTTAAAACTGTTCCGAGACAAACGCTTAGAGATTGATCATAGCCGTATACAGAACGGCATGGAATAGACTATATCTATGTTGAGGTAATTTTTGTATTTTTGCTATATATATATATACATATATAAAGGAAAATTTATGTTACCGTTCTATATACAGAAGGTCCTCGGGTTACGTCGGACCCAACGTACGGCGTTTCGTGGATTGAACTCATAATTACATTTTCTCGTGTTTGTACTGTTATTTTTTCTTTTAGTATAGGTCAGTTATCGACTGCGTTTACGTCAGTGGTAATAAGAAAAGAAAGGTGAGAACATTAGGCCAATTGTAAATAATGTAAATAATGATGACTCCTTAGCTCAGAAATTGAAATAGAAATCTCTTCTTCGTGTTACTGAGGTTATTTCCCATTCAGAAGAATACCAAAACCTGAAAGGTGATGGCGACTTGCATCTGTTACTGATGAAATAGGACGTTTCAAATTATGAGCTTTGCTGCGTTAATAATTTTAAAATAACATTTCAGTTTACCGCTAAGGGGGAAAAAAAATCTGTCTAGCCGAAAAAAGCGACACTTTATTCTATACACCTGACGAAGGTTGCAGAATGGAACAATCGAAACATCGTGTGAAAACAACTATACCACGACGAAAAAAAGAAAGTGTTTGAAATAATTTGTTTTATAATGATTAATTTAATTCCAGACTAAAAGCTAAACTCTGAGAACCAAATTCTAGTCGCGTTGGTTACATTCGATTACGCGCAAATATGGTTGGGAAATGGAAAGAATTATCTTTCCCTCCAGCTATGGGTTAAATATTAATACTTGTATCAGGAAAAATCATTTTTTAATGATGATCATAGTTATTCTAAAAAAATGTTAATACATTATTCACTCGAAAAAAAAAACTCAATCCAAAATAATTTTTTGGCTTTAAATGACCCATATAGGGTTGATAAGCTATCAAAAAGGAAAAAAAACAAAACAAAACAAAAAAAACAAACAAACAAATCAATCAGTACTGACAATCTTTGTTCTTGATCTCGATAAACAACTTACCATCAGAAATAAGTCCTGGGCATGACGATAAACTACCTCCGGCAGCAAGACTTCACACCGTGAGACTGGAGGTTCTGAGGAGCGTAGAATCACTTCTTAATTGTTGTTGTTTTCAGGTTCACCCTGACCCTGGGGTGGTAGCACCTGTTAGGGTCCCAGCTATGGGCAAATAGTGAACCCACAAACAAAACACTATGAAAGTAATAAAATATATTTTTTTTATATATGTTTATATAAAAAATGATCAACAATACATATTTATAGTAAAATGAACAAAAATACATTTTTAAAGAATAATGGCTAGCAATACATTTCATCTGTAGATGAAGGCATAAAACTGGGATCAAAGATTTAGATTTCAGCATTAAATAACACATAATGGTTGATATGCCGCTAAAAATATTTCAATCACCGGAAAATATTTGGACTGTATTAAATACAC